TACCTAAGGTTTAAGATGAATTTTTAAAAATGAAAAAGCATTCTTGAAGCTTTCTTTTTAGCTTTAAATGAAAGCTAAACGGTTAAATTTACTATTTCCAGTAAACAAAATACACTGGTTTATTTCAAATAGAAATTGGTTGGAATCTCAACTTTTTGGTCACTTTCAGAAAATCATTTAAAATCGGACTTTTTTTTTTTTTTATGCATTTGTAAACAAAAGTTAATTCTCAGTTTTAAAAATCTTCCAAAAATAAAATATACTTTTCTGAAACTTTATTTGATGAATATTAGCTGATTTAAAGTATAATTAATCTGATTTGAAACAAATATTTATTTTAAGCTGGAAATAACAGAGAAATGGATTTTTAAAACAAACTAGTGGAGATTCAATCACGTAACGAGTGCTAATAAATGTCAACATCTTTATTCTTGTTCTCTGGAGACTTTATCTGTTAAAACATAATTTTAAAAAATGATGGTGAAAGTTTTTTTTTAATATAATTTTTAAGTACTCAGCAATCTTAAAAATGTTGGAACATATTCTGCATAATCTAAGGAATTTTGACTTTAAATATACTATAGTCATTGCTCTTATTTTCTGATAATGTGTATGGTCAACTATACTTTCAAACAGGGGCACATTATGGAATCTTTTATATACATAAAAAGAAAATTATTTAAACATTCATGGTGCAAAACGACTTTTATTAAGCTTTTCAATTTTTGATTCATAAATATAGTTTTCACATAGTAACAATGTCACATAACTTACATAAAATAATGTAGAATTTTAAACGATTTATGTATTATAAATTCAAATTGAAAAAAAATGAAAACAATTCTTGTAGAAATTCATTATTTGTTGAAAACATTTTTTTTTTCTTAAGATAGTCAGTCAGTTATGTGTCATGCATGATACATGTTTAGGCAATCATGTATCTTTCAATAGATGACTGATGAGGCAGATTTTTTCCTGCAGTAGATTGCCATTTTTTTCTGGAGTAGACCAGTTGCCATCCAAGGCTATAGGACCCAGTCTATCCTGCTATTTACCCATAACTGGGGGTGAGAAGAAGAGGATTCATACCTTTCGGCTTGCTGAATCATTAATCTGCACCACTATCCATTACTCCACCATGCCTTCTTAAGACAATATTATCCTTAATAAATTTTATTTATACTATTTAGATTCTTTGGACTGTTGTCCTCATCTTTTTGGTGTCTCAGTTTTTGCCCTTTAACTCACCTCTCCACTGCAGTAGCCTGGTATTGAACTCACAACTCTTTCATCCACTGGGCAATGTGTCCTTGAGGACATCGGTGTATGGTTTGTTTTGGGGCATATCAACCTCAGTGGGTTATTTAATGCCGGCAAAATTGTTATTGCCGTTTTTTTTTTTTTTTTTTCCCAAACATGTATTGCTAGTAATATTTTTCCTTCAAAAAATCTATTTCTAATAATGTTTTTTTCAAAAACGTATTGCTGGTAAAAATTTTTTTTGCCTAAAATGTGTTGCTGATAATAATGTGTTGCTTGTAATCATTTTTTTTTTTTTTTTTTACAAAGTATTTCTGGTATTAAGATCTATTTTTACACTTTTATAGTGTTTTGACCCCAGTTTGGGGGTTAACTATTTGCCCATAGTTGGGACCCTAACAGGTGTTACCACCCCAGGTCAGGGTTGACCTGGGAACACCAGCAATTAACAGGTGGTTCCATGCTCTTCAAAACCTCCTGCTGCTGGACGTAGATTATCGTCTTACCCAGCACACGGATGTAGTTTATCGTCATACCCAGGATGCATCAGTATATGAATTTTTGGGACTTATAAACTTAATGTCTCAGTAATCATTTTTACCAGAGTTCATATTGCAATTTTTTGTTGTTGTTATTGCTTTTCTCTAGCACTCCTTATTACTGGTGCCTATATTGTATTCATTTCTATGCTTGGTTGGCTCAGGAGATTTTTTTGGTCTAGTATATGTGCTGATTTCTTAAGTTTTCGTATTTTCCAGTGATATTCTGTATTATTTCAACCTCATCCCACAGTGGGGTGGTGATCTCCCACCCCCATATGTAGTCAGCTACACCTGATTTTTCTATTTCCAAATATGTCATTTCATAAAATACTGTTGTTTAAAAATTGCACTTAAATTTTACAAGTAATTTAAAAAGTACTAAGTTTAGACTTTCTTCTGTCAAATCTGCAAGAAAGTAACATTTTATTAAATTATACAAGCACAGATTCTCAAAAAATATTTTTTTGAATTGTTTTTGACTTTTGACAAAAAGCGGGCCGAATTTTCTGTTGGATCACATTTATTTGATGGATGACCAGAATTGATGACATAAATTTACAGAATCTAAGTGAACGCATTTTTTTTTGTTTTTTAACTACCTCGTAATTTTTACAAATTAACATATTTTCAGCAATTATCTAATATTTTATCGACTTTTAGTTACGCTTGAAAATGCTTTATGAAAAAAAAATTAAAATACTATAAAATTTTGTTAAATTAATTTTAAAATTTAATAACAGATGAAATTAAGATAAGTAAGCAAGAAAATTAACACTTTGATCTGGAATTTTTTTTATAATTAAAATATTTTTTAATCATTAATAGTTAATAAACTTTAACATTTTAGCTAAAAAATATTTTTCTATTTTCTTCATAAGCGATATACAGTGTAACCCGGATATAAGAGAGTTGTCGGAACCGGAGAAGAAGTCTCTTATATCCGGGTTTCTCTTATATCCGGGTTTGGTTTATTTTATATTCATTAACACAGGCTCTAATTTGGGACCAGAGAAAATCTCTCTTATATCCGGGTTTTTCTTATATCCGGGTCTCTTATATCTGGATTACACTGTAGTTCAAATTATTTTTTTGTTTTTAAGTAGAAACGAAAAATCAACTGAACTTCTCCACACGTCTTCCGTACATTTGAATTAAAAACTTTTTTTATGTACATTGAGTACTGTCGATTTTTTTTTCTTATTGTTCTAGTACCCATGGACAAGAGAAACAAGGTTTTTTTTTAAGTTAGAATGTTCTAAAAAGGATGGAAAGCTTTTAAAAAATACTTAAAAGAAATATTTTGTTTTTTCCTAGTAACATAAACCTTTTTTGACGATAAAATTTTGTTTCCATCAAATTTGGAGTCTTTTTCATCATTTTTTTTTTTTTTGAAGGATCTAATTTTATATCATATCATTAATGAACAAGTCCTGAAAATTTCGTTTGGATGGGATAATTCCTCGATTTATGGAAAATATTTTAAAATATCGTTTTTTACTTTCAATGCAATAAAAATAAAATTATCCACTTTTTTGCTGGTACCTAACTTGTACAAAAAAAACAAAAAAAAAAAACGAAAAATCATAATGAATGTTAAGAATCATATCAGATTGCTCTCATCATGGTATAAAAATACATTTTCTTTCACTCAAAGGAAAACTTGTCAATTTCTTCCTCGTTCATTTTGCCAAAAAGCAAAAAATTATAACTGACATTCAATTGATATTGAACAGAAGTAATCACTATTAGTTATATTTCATGACAGCATACAGTACACGCATACATGCATAGATATGTATCTTATCAATATGTTTTAGTTTTACTTTTCACTTTTTCATTAATAGTAAAGTAATACTAGTTAAGAAAAAGAAAAGACTGTTTAACAATGTTCAACTTTCGACACAGTATGTCTGTTTCTTCAAGTCATGTTTAAAATTTGTAATACAAGTATAATAATAAAAATAAATCTGCAAAAAATGAACGAACGTTGCTTGTCTTGAGAAAAGAACGGCTGTACTGATAATATACGCGTCAAAACTAATGAAAATTTCAAGGTGAAAACGTTCGTCGTCATATAACGCACGTTTCATTGCATGCCATTCACGCTGGCTGCGTTTCATTATGGCGCCTTAATTACCAGTACGGCCGTTTTTTTTCAAGACAAGCGACGTTTGTACAAAGAATTATACTTTTTTTTGTAGATTTTTAAAAAATATTTTTATACTTGTATACAATTTTTAAACATAATTTGAAGAAGACAGACATTTATAATTTTACATATTGGGATTTTTAACACTTGGGGTGGTTTTTCCCCAGTAGGTGACCAGCATGTGTGAGGTTGGTGTATGAAGCAGCAAATGGTGACTGATATGGTAAATGGAGTATTGTAACGAATGAATGAATGGGTCATGAAACCGATTAGCTAAGTATATACTAGCTAGTGATGACCAACCTTGACTAGCCCTCTCGCCCTTTTTTTTTGCCTTGTGCCACAATTACTGTAATATATACGGACATACTGTTGAGTGTTACTGTTAAACATTGTTAAACATCGTGTCTTCTGTTTAGTTTCTTAAATCGCACTGTTGCTTAATGTTGGAAAATATTGGAAGGGTTGCATCAATGATTTCGTTTATTTATTGTTTGATGTCTGGATTTTGATAGCCAACAACAAAAAACTAACAAAAAAAAAAAAAAAATCTATTATTATGGCTGAGTGAAATTAAATTGAAAGAATACAAGAGTAAATAAAGGTTTGTATATAGAGATATTTTTTCTGTACATACATCTGTGCAAAGTTCCTATGAAACCTTATCTATTGGTTCGGTAGAATTATTAGATAAGCCTTTGTGTAGTCAAGTAAGAGCAAGACATTCTATACGGTGTACTACTCTCTGCTGTGTTCAGTGCAACATGAGGTTCACTGGGATCAAAACATCCACTAGAAGAGAAACAAGACACATTGCTAAGGTATCCTGTGGGCAAACAAAATTGAATGGATTAAACTTTTATGTGATGCTTTGGCAACGCCATCTAGCAGTTGTTAGCAGAAGTTCTTTGGCAAGACAAGTGGGGTAATTTTATAGTTCTAATAACTTGACATGCAGTTTTAATCTGTTCCCTAAGTAATGTTGATTTATGTCATTACGCTTTTTTAATACTTCATTTCATTCGGAAATCTTTTATCGAATAACGTTACAGTCAAACCATGCTGAAAAAAATCGGTTCTCGTTCGATCACTGAAGTTAAGCAGTATTGAGTTTGGTCATTACTTAGATGGGGGGCCGTTTGAGAACACCGGGTACTGTAAGCAACCTCCTACACTTACAATCTGAAATGTGTTTCAATTTTAAAGGGTTAATTCCGAAAAACACAGATCAGTTGTGCCATTTATCAAGTGCTATATCCCTTCAGGATGTGGACGATGATGGTTCTCCACAACTTCCCGTCTTTTGTTATTCTTAACAATGTTTGTCTTTTTGTTATCTCTCCCAATCCCTGTTCTGCCAACAATTTACAAAAGTTTGTTAGGTATGTTATTTACTGCCTCCTTTTGTTTCTCTTGCCTTCAATTTATCCAGTGAGTATCAAATTTTCCAAGCCCTCTTTCCTCATTATATGTCTCAGAAATTTCAGTTGTCTCTTTCTGATTCTAACTATCCTTTTTGTTTCCATTTTCCATAAAACTTTTTCGTTGCGCACATGTTCAGTTCATGGTATTCTCAGCATCCTTCTGTAGAGCCATATTTCTATTGTCTTAAGTCTCTTCTTCATCTGTAACGAGAGTGTCCCGTGTTCACTGACACTGACAGCAAGTCTAGTATTACGTAACAGTTCAGTACTGTTTTCTTTGTTTCTAATGAAATTTTCCTGTTTTTTTAATACTTTGCTTAGCTTTTGTAAGGTACATTTCACTATCTCAGTTCGGATTTTGGTGTCGCATTTTTCATCATCTGTTAAAACACTTCCTAAATATTTAAATTTTTGTATTTGCATAATTTTGGTTTCTCCAATACGTAGTTCTAATGTTGGGCTTTGCTTTTTACTGACAACCATCCATTCCATCTTCTTACAATTGATGTTTACTCTTTTCTTCACGTTTTAGTTTATTACCCTCTGTAGCAGTTCCCGTTCTATGTCTGTCACGAGCACTCTATCGTTTGTATAGTGATTTTCTAAGCTCTGCTTAGATGTGGCACAAGGCCGAAAGTATGGGGCACCCAGTGAGAATCGAACTCACTACTCGATCATTATTGATCTAGCAAGACAAGCTTTCTAACCATTACACCACGACGAGGTGCCCCTGTATCATTTGCATATACAACGTTATTAAGATTGTGGCCGCTAATAACGAATCCGGGTAGGACTCTCAGGATCGCCTTACTGTACTCTAAAGGTTGAATAAGTCCAGTGAGAAAGCACGCCCTTTCTATTTTTGTGAATTCATTTTCTAACCGTATACAGGCGGTTTGCTTTCAGTATAAGTCCTGTTTTATTCTATCCTTAAATAAATTGAAATAGTTAAAAAAACAAAAAAAAAAAAAAAAAAACACTTAATCCTACGAAGAACCGCTGAGAAGCTTCGTTTGGGGACTTGAAAAGAAAGTCAGTTTTCCTGCATTTATTTCCAGGTTTGACACAATTCATCCAACGCTCTCAATCTTGTCTGTTCCGTCCATTTTCCAGTTTATGTATTGTCTGGTTTTCGTGAGGTCTTTAAAAATACCTTTATTTACTTCTCTTTTTTTTTAAATCTCAATAAAATTGCTTATTTTTATTAACTTTCTTAATGACAACGGATCCCCACTAGTGACAGATCCCCAATAAAGTCGAGTACTTTAAAAAATCCAATAGGAATGTGCTGATGTCATTGAGGAACATCACGTAGGAAGCCCTTTCATAGTGTTGTGTTTCACAATGTCGAAACACTTGAGTGATTTCTCGTAATTGCTTTCAAGACGATCACAGTTCGTAGTAAATATGAATGAACCATTGGGTTAGAACGTAGTCGATAATGAGATTTACGTACATATATCTAGAAATTTATAATATAGTTTCAATTTTTTACTCTTAAATTAAAACATTTTTTTTTTTTTTTTTTAAATTAAAAAAATCATTTTAATGTTAGTATGCATTTCTTTTGGGCTTGCATATTTTAAAACATACCCAAAGGCGCATTTCAGAAAAGTGATAATATTACGCTTAGGCCCCCACCCGACAGTACCTCTCCTTCCGGGGGGGGGGGGGATCATTACCTGGCGCCTGAGGCATCCCCAAAAGAAAAACTGAAGACAGAATTTTTCCAATGTAAAGCCGTTAAACCCGCATTAATCTTCGACCTTGTGTCACTTTCAGTAGCGACATTGGTATGCTGAAAAATCCAGCATTTCAAAAAATTAGCGTATTTTTAAAAAAATTTTCTTTGGGGTTTTGCAAACGAAGCCCTATGGCAAGAGAGGTGTTGGTTTCATTTTATGTAATGTACATTTCACTTCTGAAACGGAAAGGAGTTTGAGTGGCAGAAATACTTTTGTCAATGACAGTGTTTTTAGAGTAAATGGAAACATTAAGTAATCAAAAAGAGATAGTTGAAATTTCTAGAAAAAGAGGGTTTGGAAAATTTGATACTCACAGGAAAGATTAAAGACAATAGGGACAGAGGAAAACAATGCTTAAATTACCTAGAGATCTTGAGTAAATGGATGGTGGAACAAGGTTTAGGAAAGATAGCAAAAAGATTAAGAGCTACAAAAGACAGGAAATTGTGAAGAGCCATGCCTGCATATGTCCTGAAGTGATACGACATATGGAAGAAGAAATTGTTCAGAAGGATGCATTTTAGATGTGGTTATTTTCCAAGTGTAACTTAGAGGTGGCACAAGGACGAAAGTATGGGGCATCTAGTGAGGATCAAACTCACTTTTCAGTTGTAACTGATCTAGTGCGACAAGCCTGCTAAACAATTACACCATGCCGAGGTGCCCAAGTGTTTTCCAATTGTAGCCTAGATGTGGCACAAGGCCGAAATTAGGGGGCACTCAGTGAGGATCGAACTCACTACTCAGTTGTAATTGTTCTAGTGAGCCAAGCTTGCTAACCATTACACTACCTTGAGGTGCCCATGCATTTTAGATGTGGCTGGGAATGTAGATTGTTTTTTGTTTTTTTTACAGAATCACCAGTGTTTGATTTAGGTTGAAACATCTGAACTGGCTTGCAACCATCATGCTTACTTGTTTAGTTTTTAAATGTTCATATTGCTGCATTGTGTTAGTATAGTAATATATATCACCCAATTGGAGCAGAAAATATTTCTTTTTAGAAACTGGCACAGACGAGATGGAGGAAATAAAGATATTGACAAGTCAGGTGAAGACAACAAAAATTGCTCAACTGAAAATGATAACTCCTGCTTGGCTGTCTCTATGGTGATTGGAGAAATATCGTAATGGAATCTTCTTTGTTGATAAGAAAATGTTCTTTTTTTTTTTTCCCCCCTTAATCACTTCACCCCAAGCAAGATGATAATGCCACTAAGATGTAAGGAGTTACTAGGAGTGAAATAAAATGAGAAGACTTTAGTGAGGTGAAAGGACAATAAAAGAACAGTATTCCGGAAGACAGGCAATGATGATTGGTGTTGCATTTAAATTTTGAAAACAAACAGAAGAGAGTTCCATATGTGAAATGTAAAAGAAAAACAATACTATTATTGAAGCTCTATCACATTGGTAGGAAAGAGACTAACTTGAGTTGAGATGCCAGATCTGGACCAATAACATTACAGACTCTTCTTTGTATTTTGTTAAGAATCTCTAGGTGTATTACAAACCAAATATGGCAAGAAATATTCAATGCACAGATAAATGGTAGATTTATAAATGTGCATAATGAATTCTGCTGAAAAAAAGTGTTATATCAAAAATATGTAATAGATAATATTTTAATTTACATATCTCTTAAGAAAATAAGTCATTAGATCTATTGATAAAAATTTGTTTATTAAAATTTTTTTATGATGAAATATAACCTTTATTAAGATATAGGAATTAAAAAATTACAAATTTTATTTTGAAAATTACTGATTTTATATGTAAATATTATTTTTCTTGACTTTTTCCTACTCAAGGAAAAGTTATGACTTCTTTTCTAACAATTATCTAATTGTGATTCTGATGATCATACTGTAAAATTGGTTCATCATGTCATAGATAATTTTTTTCTTTTGAATCTATCTTGTATATCTATAAGGCTTTCATTCATCCATGCCTCGAATATTGCTGCTGCATATGGTCTGGTACTTCTGTTTTATATTTAGAGATTCTTTATAAAAATCTAAAGATGAATCCGCTATATTATTGGTCCTGATTTGACCTTGGCTTCAGTCACTTTCCCATGACTGTGAAATTACTTTCTTGTGCCATTTTTATAAATACTTTCATAATAATTGTTTGGATGAGCTCATTGCTATGGTAGCAAGACTTTGTGAATTTAAGTGCAGTACTAGATTAGCAATAAGGTCCTATCAGTTCACAGTTGAATTGGCTTGATGTAAATATAAGTTTCTATGCTAACAGTTTCTTTTCTTGTAATTCTCACTTATGGAACTCTCTTTCAGCTTCTTGCTTTCCAGATAAGTTTGATCTTCAAAAATTTAATTGCAATATCAATTGTCTACTGTTTTCCTGATTACTCTTCTATTGTTTTTGCTCCTTCATAATGCTTCTGTTTTCTTATTCTTTCACATCCAGTAACCCCTTGTGTCTTAGTGGTTTTATTTCCTTACATGTGGTGAATTTGATTTTAAAAAGAATACAATACATTAGTGTATAGTACATGTTAACTGTTGTGGTCCCAAAAGGAATGTACTGATATCACAAAAGAATGAGTGGTCAGGTTTTTTCATTTTTATTCTTTTTTCATTTTTATTCTTTTTTCATTTTTTTTCTTTTTTCATTTTTTTTCTTTTTTCATTTTTTTTCTTTTTTCATTTTTTTTCTTTTTTCATCTTTTTTCTTTTTTCATCTTTTTTCTTTTTTCTTCTTTTTTCTTTTTTCATCTTTTTTCTTTTTTATTCTTTTTTCTTTCATATTTCATATTCACTGAATCTAGTAACCCCAGTACCTAACCAAGCCTGCTTTCTGAAAATAATATAAATGGTTTCACATTGTGCCAAGAGTCACTTTGCAAAAAGATTTCTATGTAGCAAAAATATTATTTACTGTGAAATTCTTTGATGTAGCACTATATTGTTTACACATATATGCCATATGTGTCAACAATGTGGTGCTACACAAAAGCATTTTTACAG